GATCAAAAATAAAGTAAAAACAGTAATATTGTGAAATATTATTACAATTCTAAATAGCTGTTTTCTATTTGAATATATCTTAAAGTGTAATTTATTCCTGTGATGCAAAGCTGAATTTTCAGCATGTATGACATTGACGTTACATGATTTGACTGATTTTTACGTAGAAAGGGCGACAGCGCATCGCATTAAAAGAAATGACATAAGCAGTTTTCATAGCTGCTGGCCAAATTCAAAAACAAAACTAAATAAAATTAAATCATCTTTGAGAGCAAGGAGCCCCCCTGGTGTTTCGGGGGCCCTACGCAGCTTGTGTACTTTGTGTATAGGGAGGATCGGCTCTGCTTCTAAGCGACTGCGGTGTTTTGTTGTTGGATGTAATAATGAACACAGGAGTCGTCATTTACTCCCGACATCTGAGCCGCTGAAGACGCAGTGGATTACGTTTACGAGGGTTACATACGTAACCGAGACGTTTTTTACACTACCATTGAGAAATTTTAACCAAAGTATGTTATAGACTTTTCATTAAGACCCTAAAGAATCACATCAACTTGTGGAAAATGGGCATCCCATGACCCCTTTAAAGTACAACACATCGTAGACATCCCAACAACAACATCCCAATAAACCCATCAGAATTGAGGGATAACTTTTCAGCAAATGTCAGTTTAGGTGTACAGTCAGGGTTAGGTGCTTCTACACCCTTGTTAATCAGCTATCATTTCCCACTGATTTTAGGAATAAATTATGGCTAAGGTTAGGTTTAGGGGTAGGGATTGGGTTAAGCCTATACTTTTGGACAGTAATGCTGATCCAGGATCAACAAAACATGTTGATCCAGGAACATGTCTTACTTGGCAAAATCACGGCGACCGAAATGAAATCATTCTCATATGCTGATTTGCTGTTCAATAAACATTTCTTATTATAATTAATGTTGAAAACAGTCATGCTGCTTCATATTTTTGTGGAAACCTTTGATACATTTTGTTTCAGGATTCATTGATGAATAGAACGCTCAAAAGAACATTTATTTAAAACAGAAATCTTTTGTAACATTATAAATGTCTTTACTGTCACTTTTACAGTCATGTGTCCTTGCTGAATAAGAGTATTAATTTCTTTCCAAAAAAACACTTACTGACCCCAAACTTCAAAACAATAGCGTATATGCATTTAGTTATACAGTATATGAATATTATATATTACCTGTATTTGCATGCAATTATCTTGTTATTTGAGTGTTGTTTTAATCACACCTCGCACGCTCTCACCAGAAAGACAGCGATGGCTCCGCCGGTGAAGTATCCAGCGAGGACGTCGGCCCAGTGGTTGCGGTATTCAGCCACTCTGACCACACCCACCAGCATGGCCAGACACAGCAGAATCAGACTCAGTGTGGGTTTGGTCAGACGCGTCCCTTTAGTCCTAAACACCAACGTCACGTACATCTGCAAGAACAGACAGATAGACAGTGGTGAAAAGTATGCCTCATACAAGTACATCTCGGCATATTGCTATAATACAAAGCTTTAAAACTATTATTAAGTACTTTTTTATGAGTATTGTAAATAGTATTTTATGTTTTATAAGTATTAGATATTTTATTAAGTATCTAGTATTATTTTTCCATTATTAGTTCATGATTTCATGTGAAGAATATATGTTACCCTGGAGCACAAAACCAGTCATAAGTAGCACAGGTATATTTGTAGCAATAGCCAACAATACATTGTATGGGTCAAAATTATCGATTTTTCTTTTATGCCAAAAATCATTAGGATATTAAGTAAAGATCATGTTTCAAGAAGATATTTTATAAATTTCCTACTAGTAAAATTCATTGCTAAAAACTTTATTTGGATAACTTTAAAGGGGTCCTATTATGCTCTTTTACAAAGTCTTGATTTTGTTTTGGGGGTGTACTAGAACAGGCTCTCATACTAGGTTGTTCGAAAAACACATTATTTTTTCACATATTTTACATTATTACAACACCTCTCTCCCCAGTCTGGCATGAACGAATAGTTCCTGTATCAAATGAAGGCCCGCCTTCTGAAATAAGAAATGTGCTGTGATTGGTTAGCTGAGCCAGTGTGTGTTGTGATTGGCAGCACTCGGCGCCTGGTCGGGAAATGTCACGCCCCTTACCATACCTAACAAACCATACATCAATGGAAAGCTTGTTTATTCAGCCTTGTATAAATTTCCAAAGATTTACCCTTATGACTGGTTTTGTGGTCCAGGGTCACAGTTATAGGAAAAAATGTTTTAATGTTAAAATAAGTTTATGCTCTTTTGCTTACCCAAGGCTGCATTTATTTGATCAAAAATACAGTAAAACAGTAATATTGTGAAATATTATTACAATTCAAAATAACTGTTATCTATTTGTATATATTTTGAAATATAATTTATTCCTGTGATCAAAGCTGAATTTTCAGCATCATTACTCCAGTCTTCAGTGTCACATGATCCTTCAGAAATCATTCCAATATGCTGATTTGCAGCTCAAGAAACATTAAGTCGAAAACAGTTGTAAAGCCTTATATTTTTGTGGAAACCATGATACATTTCTTTATAATTTACTGACCCCGAGCGTTTGATTAACATATACATACCGATTATATATATATATATATATATACACCTTGGTTTGAAAAGCTCCACTTCAAGAAATCATTAGTCTCACAGAAAGTTACAAGACAAAAAATTTACACAAAAATTGTCTTTAACAATCTAAAATGGAAAAGGTACTTGTTTGACAAACTCACACTGCACCGACAGACGCCAACAAACAGCAATAGACATGCTCGTCAGGTTTTGTCTGCTCAATGTGTTATGTCTGTCTGTGTCTGTTGGCGTTGGTTGGTGCTTAAACATGTTGTATCTGCGTCTTGGAACGTCTGAGAAATGACGTACTGTACTCAGGCTGCTGTCTGCTTTGGTCTGCATCTGTTAGTGTGGTGTGAATTGGCCTTAAACCACCAAAACGTCCTTGTTTAACCGGATTCACCAGAAAGAACATGCTGAACCTGTTTTACTATTTTTGCTGATGACATGGCCATACCAGAGCACCAGCTAGACCAGTACTAACTGGCATAAATCAGCTCGAAAAACACTGACCTGTGACCTGCTCGAAGCTTTGCAGGTTGCCTATTGACTTTTTAAAAGAAAACTATATGATTGCAAGTTAGAATATTATTACTATATTTAAGAATATCTATAAGCTTTACATGCCATTTTTGATCACAGTCACTAGCTAACAATCACTTTTTGTGTCCTTGAGTTTGAAAGATTGCTTAAAACTGCAGAGGTATATAGCTGTACTATTTTGTTTGTTTGTCAGTACATACACAAGGAAGTTAATTCAGATTCAGTCACATCATTAAAATAGTTGTAGGCTCATTATCCTCACCACTGTATACACTGCAGAATAAACACTGAGGGCCGCATCTTTGGAAGGAAAGGATTTCCGTGCAGATGCTACTATGAGGGGGTTTCCAGTGCAGGCTTTGCGCTCTGTGATGTACTGTAGGTTGGAATGGCAGCCCAGTGCTGTGTAGTTTGGTCTACATGCTGACAGGAAGTGAGGCGTCTGGTTTCCTGTCACTACCTGCCCAGCATTGGCAAAGATGGTGGTGGTGAACACGCCGAAGGTGTAGACACCTGAGTGACAGGACAGAGACCAAAGGTTTCAGAAACAAATGGAAAACATGTAAAAATTGAGGCTGCTAATATATTGGAGTTCATTTCTGTATGGAACATAAAATAAAATAAATTATATTTATAATATTGGCCACCATATGCATTATTGCAGATAAAATAAAAAAAATAACTTTATAAAATTATTAATTATATTCGTTATTGGTCATAAAATTTGAATAAAAATAAAATAAAATAAAATAAATATATTGATCATCGCATTCGTTATTGGTCATGAAATTAATTAATAAAATAAAAATAACTTTACAATAACAGTCATTATATTTGTATTGGTCATATACAATAAAATAAAATTGACCATCATATTCGTTATTGGTGATGAAATTAATTAATAAAATGAAAATAACTTTACAATACTGGTCATTATATTTGTTATTGGTCATAAAATAAAATAAAATAAACTTTATAATATTGGTCATTATATTCATTATTAGCCATAAAATAAAAATAAAAATTACTTTATAATATTAGCCATCATATTTGTTATTGGTCATAAAATAAAATAAAAAATATTGGCAACATATTTGTTACAGATTATAAAATGTAAATAAATAAATAAATAAATAGAATTGGCCATCATATTTGCTTTTGCTCTTAAAATAAAATAAAAATAAAAATAACTTTATAATATTGGCCATCATACAGTATTTGCTATTAGTCATAAAATATTGTATTTGGATTGTCAAATAGCGACAGCAGTGTCCCACCATGTGACGACATACTTCATCTGAAATTATTGTAAATATTTTTTTTCCATTCTTGTCTATTTATTTATATATGCAGTTCGTATGAACTTGCATTAATTCCGAAACAACCTGAAATATTTGTACTTTTACATAGCATTTGTCACACTGCAGGACTATTTAAGTGACCTGCAAAAATGTAAAAAATTGACTAAAAATAGTAAAACAAACAAAAAAACTTTGTAATCAGTTTCAGCATTTAAAACATACAGTCATGGCCAAAAATATTGGCACCCTTGGTAAATATGATCAAAGAAGGCTGTCCTGAGCTGAACCCTATAGAAAATGAGTGTGGTGAACTGAAGAAAAGAAGCACCAACATGGAGCTGGGAATCTGAAGAGTCTGGAGATATTCTGGATGAAGGAATGGTCTCTGATCTCTTGTCAGGTGTTCTCTAACCTCATCAGGCATTATAGGAGAAAACTCAGAGCTGTTAAACTGGCAAATGGAGGTCTCAAAAAGTATAGAAAAAA